AAATAGACTGAAATTTTTAAATATTTTACTTTTACTTCTTTTTTTTTTTTTGGTCTTTTTGAGACAGGGTCTCCCTGTAGCCCCAGCTGTCCTGGAACTCACTATGTAGACCAGGCTGGCCTTGAACTCGCAGAGATCTGCTTGCCTCTGCCTCCCGAGTGCTGGGACTAAAGGCGTACACCACCACCCCCGGCTAAAATATTTTAAATAATACAAATAAAAAATGAGAGAGAGAGACAGGCAGAGAGAGGGAGAAAGGCACGCAGGGGTTGATGATATAGATCTATAATTCTAGCTACTCAGGAGACTAAGGCAGGAACATCACAAGTCAAGGACAGCCTAGCCTAAAGAGTGAGATCCTGTCTCAAAATAAAAAATAAAAAGAAGGCGGGCGTGGTGGCGCACACCTTTAATCCCAGCACTCGGGAGACAGAGGCAGGCGGAGCTCTGTGAGTTCAAGGCCAGCCTGGTCTACATAGTGAGTTCCAGGACAGCTGGGGCTACAGGGAGACCCTGTCTCAAAAAGACCAAAAAAAAAAGAAAGAAAGAAATCTCACAACCAGGTGTGGGGGCACATACCTTTAGTTCTAGCACTCAGGTGAGGTGGGCAGATCTTGGGAATTTGAGGCCAATCTGGTCTACAAAGTGAGTAAGTTCCAAGTCAGCCAGGGTTACATAGTGAGATACTGTCTCAAAAAAAAAAAAAAGGAACATGTGTGGGAGATGGGATGTAGCTCAGTGATAGAGTACTTGCTTAGCATGTGTGAGGCCATAGGGTTCAGTACCCAATACTGGTGTGACTGGTGTGTGTAAGGGATTAAAAGGATAAATTTCATTAGTCATATTTATCACAATTTTAAAAGTCTTGGGGCTGAGGAGATGGCTCAGTAGTTAAGACCACTGGCTGCTCTTTCAGAGGACCTGGGTTCAGCTCCCAGCATCCACATGGTGGTTAACAAACCATCCAAAATTCCGGTTCCAGGGTATCTGACACCCTCTTCTGACCCCCAAGGGCATTGTATAACAATAGGTACACTTACATACATTCAGGTAAAAACACATATACATATAAAATAAAAATAAATAAGAATTTTTTTAAAGAATCCGGGCGTGGTGGTACACACCTTTAGTCCCACTCAGGAGGCAGAGGCAGGTTTATCTCTGTGAGATGGAGGCCAGCCTGGTCTACAACATACTGAGTTCCAGGCCAGCTGTGGCTACAAGGAGACCCTGACTCAAACAAAAAGAAAAAGAAAACAAACATGCACTTTTGTTACAGAGAGGACCCAAGATCAATTCCCAGCACTTACATCCAGTGGCTTATAACCTCCTATAACTCTGGCTCTAGAGGATCCACCTTTGTTCTCTACCAGCCGGTGTTCATACACACACACACACACACACACACACACACACACACACACACACACTTAAGATAAAAATAAATTTTTAAAGAGTCTTGGTTGGGGAAATGGCCCAGTGGGTAAAATGCTTACTGCACAAACTTGAAGACCTGGGTTTGAATCCAAACCCACACAAAACCGTATGTAGTATTGTTTCTATGATCCCCAGGCTCCTAAGAGGGGAGGCAGAAACAGGAGACTCCCCATATGCACAGGGAACACTGGAGATCCTGCCCCAGCCTCTCTGCCCAGGGGGGCTCTCTCTCTCTCTCTCTCTCTCTCTCTCTCTCTCTCTCTCTCTCTCTCTCTCTCTCCCCCCCCCGAGGGTAGAATGTAATTCAGTTGGTAAAATACATAGCTTCCACAGAGCCCTGGGTTCAGTACCCAGCATCAAATAAAATGGGTATGGTAGAACTTCAGGAGGTTCAGAAGTTCAAGGTCACCCCCAGGAGATTCAGAAGTTCAAGGAAAAAAAAAATGAGAGAGGGGCCTGTAGGGATGGCTCAGCGGTTAAGAGCATTGGCCGCTCTTGTAGAGAACCCAGGTCTGATTCCCAGCACCCACATCACAACTAACAACTGTCTGTAATTCCAGTTCCAGGGAAATCCAATGCCCTCTTCTGACCTGGTGGTCCAGGCTTGTATTCCCAGCTAGTCATGAGACTGAAGCAGGTGGATCACAAGTTTGAGGCCAGCCTGGGCTACATAGTGAGTGTCTACTCAAAACAAACAAAACCAAAAAGCAAAGAATCACCCAGATTTCAAATTTTCCTCATTGCTTCAAACATTTTTTACTGTCAACTTTTTCCAACCAGGATATACAAGGAAGGTTCTGGAATTACAGGTGTGCATCATCAAGCACCGTGCCCGCTTGAGCACTGGATGTTTCTGAGAAATTGATAGTGATGAAGGATTATGATACCGCTACATGTCTATGACCGCCTCAGAAGTCAGAGCTGTTGGTTCCCAAGTCTACAGCCGGGGCCTGATCGTCGGCCTTTTCAGGAGCACGGGAGCCAGCAATGGTACTCTTGCAAAGTAAAACTAAGCAACAACAAAAATGCCTTGATGTGTCCGTCTCCTGTGGTCAGCAGATACTCATCCAGGGCTGGCTTTGTGCCAAGGGGGTGACACAGGGCCTGGGTCTCTGAGGGCCCCTGAAAACAGATTGGCTGTGGCCCACACTGAGGGTAGGCTGAGGATCAACACAAGACCCTGGGGTAGTCTGGAGCCAGCAAGGGAGAACCTGAACATCAGGAGCTGGGCAGTGAGGACTGGCAGTAGGCAGGGCGGGAGCCCCATAAAGGCTGCCCCATCAAAGTCAAGCTTGGAAAGGACTGGACCGATTCATTTTCTGGGTTTGGGATGTAGAGAGTTGGCCACAGAGCTCCCAGCCCAACATTGTTTTTTTTTGTTTGTTTGTTTTGTCTGTGTATTTGGTTGTTGAGACAGGGTCTTGCCTATGTAGCCAAGGTTGGCCTTGAATGCATAGTAACCCTCCTACCTCAGCTTACCAAATGCAGGGATTAAGCACTTACCCATGCCTGACAGCTATTTTTCTTTCCATTTTTCCTCTCCCCCTAAGCAGTCTTGATGTGTGTCCTCAGATGTCACATGCCCTTTTAACAGGAATGTTATTATGCTAAAAAACACATGGTGTAAAATCTGGGTCTGGTGGTGTACTAAAATCCCAGCACTTATGAGGCTGAAGCAGGATGATCACCTCGAATTCCAGACTAGTGAGACCTAGTCTCAAAATACCAAAAAACCTAATCTGCATAGTGAGTTCTAGGACAGCTGGGGCTACAGAGAGACCCTGTCTCAAAGAGACCAAAAAAAAAAAAAAAATTACCAGGGTTGGAGAGATAGCTCAGTGGTTAAGAACACTTACTTCTCTTGCAAAGGACCTGGGTTCAATTCCTAGCACCCATATGATGGCTAAGAACCATCCTTAGCTCCATTTCTAGGAGATCTGACACCCTCTTCTGACCTCCATGGCATTGTACGATGACATGGGTGCACTCACATACATGCAGGCAATACACTCATACACATAAAATAAAAATAATAAATTTACCATTTAGGGGCTGAAGAGATGGCTCAGCTGTCAAGAACATTGTTCTTGCAGAAGACCTGGGTTCAAATCCCAGCACCCACATGGCAGCTAACAAATGTCTGTAACTCCAGTTCCGGGGGATCCGACAGTCTCTTCTGTCCTCCGCAGGAATTGCAGGACACAGGTGCACTTACCTACGTGCAGGCAATACACGTGTACACATAAAAATAAAATGTTTAAAAACCAATTTTAAAATTTCCCATTTTAGGCATTTAAAAGTAAACCAGGCATGGTGGCCCACGCCTTTAATCCCAGCACTGGGGAGGCACAGGGTGGCAGACCTCCGAGTTTGAAGCCAGCCTGGGCTACATAGCGAGACCCTATTGAAAAAAAAGAAAATGGTTCTCTGGGTGCTCCGTACACTCAGAATGCTGTGCGCACTGCCTCTCCAGTTCTGCATCTGCTTATTTACTCTCACACTGTAGCCCAGTCTGGCTTCCAATTTGTGGCAATCTTCCTGTCTTCATCTCTAAAGTGCCCAAGCACAGGGATTACAGGCATGAGTCAGTTTTGTTTTATTCTGTTTTGACCAGAGTTCTCAGGTTGGCCTTGAACTACGTATCAGAGGATAACTTTGAATTTACCCTCCAGCCTCCACTTCCAAGTGCTCAGATTACAGGTGTGTGCCACCATGCCAGGTGCTGGGAATTTAACCCAGGGTCTATCCAGCATTCAAGTCCCACAGCCATAACCAACAGCATCATCTCTGGATTAGCCTGGGTGTTTTCCAAGGGTCATCTGTGGTGTAGCCATGCTAGTCCTTTACTCCTTTTATGACTGACAGTATTCTATTATACAGTGGAATCTTTAAAAAAAAAAAAACGTTCTTCCTTTTAGCTGTTGGGGTAATGCTGCTGTGAACATTCCTGCTCACGTCCTTATTTGAACAATTTCTACTTGAGGTATATACTTGGGAGTGGAATTCCTAGATGTATGGTAATTGATGACCTGCCAAGTTTTTTTCCACAGCTGCAGTTTGGTTCCCAACAATTGACAAGGGCAGGTCCTGACCACACCACTTCCTCGCCATCCTGGTGGGCAAGCTGAGGGCCTTCGTTGGAGTTTGCCTGTTCACATCGGGCACAATCCCTCAGGCACCCTGATCCTATCCACACACAATTGAGTATTTATGTGGCTTGCACCAGTGGTGGACTCAGGGGGTGAAGAGTCTGCTCCAAGTGGAATGTGTCCCTCCACATGGCACACGCTTAGTAGGAAAATCCCAGAAAATGGACGGCACACTGAGGTTCTTAGCCTCTCCATCAGAGGGGGTGGTAAGAACCACACCAAAGTTCAGGGGGAAGGCCTTCCACTTTAATTTGGGAGTCAGGCTCAGGTTCTTCCTGACCCAGAGACTGTGATTAGTTACAATAGGTCAGGAAGTCAGTACTATCTTCCTGAGTAAAGCCTTCCAATGCACACTTGGACCACAGCCCTCCCTTGGCCTCTCCCAAATTCCCCTCCCTGAAACAGAACAGGCAATCTCAGTATACTGCAGCACTTTATTTTTTCTTTACACGACAATGTGTTGCTGGGGCCTAATGTTCTCACTGAACAGTAGAAAACCAAAATTTGTCATTTCTTAAAAGAATCGAGTACAAAAAACCTTACATAAATTAAAAGGACGAATAAATTTACAGGTGTAAATGCGAACATCCCCAACTCAAGGCAACGGACAACCCCGGGTCAGGAGGGGAAACACCAGAACGGAAACTGGGTCCTAAGGCTCAAACTTCCCCACCCTGTTAGACCGGCAAGTGCTAACTGGTTTACGAACCCTTGCCAGTCTTGAGAAATCCTGAACAATCAGCCTGTCGTTTACAATACCCTGCACAGGTCACTGCACTGTGCTCAGATCCACTAGACTGGGGATTTCTCTTTCATGGCGTGCTGGCCTCAGCCACCAGGTGACTGAACGGAACATGGCCTAAGGACTTAAATCAAGGTATGCACAGGGTATTAAACATATACCAAGGGAACAGTTAACTTGAATACAGGGCCAGAAATCAGCAACAAGGCCTAAGATCCAGTGCTGATATCAGATACAAGCTTCAAGGACAAATTTCTTTTCAAAGGCTTATTCCAGTTTCATGAGGCTAGCATGAGGTGTACATTTGCCGGGGCAAATTGATACTTCAGAATCAGCTCATGCAGCAGATGCCTGGCACCTGCTCAGTCCATCTAGAAGCATTTGCGGTGGACGATGGAGGGGCCTGACTCATCGTACTCCTGCTTGCTGATCCACATCTGCTGGAAGGTGGACAGTGAGGCCAGGATGGAGCCACCAATCCAGACTGAGTACTTGCGCTCAGGGGGAGCGATGATCTGCAGGGAAACAGTAAGCAGTGAGAACTCCCATCACTGTGGACCCCACCTCCCCCACAGACCAGGCTTGATCAGGCCGGGTGGCTGCTCACCTTGATCTTCATTGTGCTGGGTGCTAGGGCGGTGATCTCCTTCTGCATCCTGTCAGCAATGCCTGGGTACATGGTGGTACCACCAGACAGCACCGTGTTGGCATACAGGTCCTTGCGGATGTCAACATCACACTTCATGATGGAGTTGAAGGTGGTCTCATGGATGCCACTGGACTCCATACCTAGGGGACAGACACGTGACTTAAGTCACAAGTTCTGTGTGGCCCATCCCTCCCAAGGTGACAAACTGGAGCCCTCAGCTCCTGCACCATTCTGGACACTTACCCAGGAAAGAGGGCTGGAAGAGCGCCTCTGGACACCGGAATCGCTCATTTCCGATGGTAATCACCTGTCCGTCCGGTAGCTCGTAGCTCTTCTCCAAGGAGGAGGAGGATGCAGCAGTGGCCATTTCCTGCTCGAAGTCCAGGGCAACATAGCACAGCTTCTCCTTGATGTCACGTACAATCTCCCGCTCAGCTGTGGTGGTGAAGCTGTAGCCTCGCTCCGTCAGGATCTTCATGAGGTAGTCTGTCAGGTCCCGGCCAGCCAGGTCCAGACGCAAGATGGCGTGGGGAAGGGCGTAGCCCTCGTAGATGGGCACTGTGTGTGTGACCCCATCACCAGAGTCCATGACAATGCCAGTGGTGCGCCCAGAGGCGTACAGGGACAGCACGGCCTGGATGGCCACATACATGGCTGGAGTGTTGAAGGTCTCAAACATGATCTGGGAAGGGATAAAGAATCACACTCAGTGGCAGGGACCCAGAGTCACCCACACCCACACACACTACATGCTGCATGCCACAAATGGGATGTGTGACTGTAATGTGTGAAGGGAAAAAAAAAAAGAGCAGAACACAAGCAGAAACTCAAACAGAAACCTGGAGGCCTCAGGGAGGAAATGCCAGAAGAACAGAACCCTGGAAACCAAAGAAACACTTAAATGTCAGGAAATGAGGCACTACAGAAACTGACTTGTCATTCACAGGACCATTCGGGGCCCAGGCGGAACCGTACCTGCGTCATCTTCTCTCTGTTAGCCTTGGGGTTCAGGGGGGCCTCGGTCAGCAGCACCGGGTGCTCCTCGGGGGCCACGCGCAGCTCGTTGTAGAAGGTGTGGTGCCAGATCTTCTCCATGTCGTCCCAGTTGGTGACGATGCCGTGCTCGATGGGATACTTCAGAGTCAGGATGCCTCGCTTGCTCTGGGCCTCGTCACCCACATACGAGTCCTTCTGGCCCATGCCCACCATCACGCCCTGCGAGAAAAAAGGCCATCAGACTCACCCGGCCGATCGCACACCTCGGAGGACAGAGGGATCCTCCCCACTCCACTCACCTGGTGGCGAGGGCGCCCGACGATGGAGGGGAACACGGCCCTGGGGGCATCGTCGCCGGCAAAGCCAGCTTTGCACATGCCGGAGCCATTGTCGATGACCAGCGCGGCGATTTCTTCTTCCATGGCGGCCTGTTCCGAGATGCGCCGGATTAGAGCGGTCCCCACGCCCCGGGCCACCTGGCACCACCGCAGCGGGACGCACCTCCCTCCCCGGGGCCGGCGGAACCGTCGCCACCGGCCGGCATCCCCGGTTCTGCCCCGCCCTGCCCCCAGCGGGACCCCGGCCACCCGCCGCCCTGGGTCTCCCGGGAAAACGCCCAACCCCACCGGGAACGCAGGCCGCTTACCAACAGAGGATGAGAGCAACGGAGAGACGAGAGGATACGGAGAGCAGAGCAGCAGTAACGAGCGAGACCGACGGCGGCGAGTGAGACCGACACTGGCCTCCCGGCCACTATTTAAGCGGGAGAGGGGCGCGCGCGCGGGCGGAGGCGCG